CAAAGTGAAAAAAGTCGAGATGGGGGGGATAGAAAAGTGTTTCAAAGATGTAAAAGAGACAGACACAACAGTAAAAAAAGTGAGTACTGTGGAAGTAGTCGAATATGACATACAGTGGGGCGAGTGCTGTTGAAGGGGTTGAATATGACAAGCAGTCGGGCTGATTGGTAGTTTGAAGTGAGAAGTCAACTGCCGGTTGATAGACGTAGTTTGAAGTCAGAAGTCAACTGCCGGTTGATAGACTTGTTAGTTTGAAGTGAGAAGTCAACTGCCAGTTAATAGACTTGTACCGTTAAAGTAATAGAGTGGGGTGATGGTAGTTTGAAGTCAGAAGTCAACTGCCGATCAATAGACTTTTTGCAAGTCAGAAGTCAACTGCCGATCAATAGACTTTTTTGTCTTTGAAGTCAGAAGTCAACTACCGTACAGTGGGGTCATGGTAGTTTGAAGTGAGAAGTCAACTGTAGGTGAGGTGAGTACTGTGGAAGTAGTCGAATATGACACAGTAAGGTAAGATGATTACTGTGAAAGGGGTCGAATATGACATAAGTGAGGTGATGGTAGTTTGAAGTGAGAAGTCAACTGCCTTAGTCGAATATGACATACAGTGGGGTCAGAGTCAACTGAAGGTAGAAAAAAGGCGAGGTGAGTACTGTGGAAGTGGTGAAATATGACATACAGTGGGGTGATGGTAGTTTGAAGTCAGAGGTATATGACATACAGTGGGGTGATGGTAGTTTGAAGTGAGAAATAGGTAGAAAAAAGGTGAGGTTAGTACTGTGGAAGAAGTCGACAGTAGAGCAAAGGTGAGGTGAGTACTGTGGAAGGGGTCGAATTTGACATACAGTGGGGTGATGGTAGTTTGAAGTGAGAAGTCGAAGAGAAAAGGTAAGATGAGTACTGTTGAAGTGGTCGAATTTAAGAAAAAAGGTGAGGTGAGTACTGTGAAATGGTCGAATATGGACAAAGGTGAGGTGAGTACTGTAAAAATAGTCGAATATGATATAGAGTGGGGTGATGGTAGTTTGAAGTCAGAAGTCAACTGCCGATCAATAGACTTTTTGCAAGTCAGAAGTCAACTGCCGATCAATAGACTTTTTTGTCTTTGAAGCTCGAATATGGCATAGAGTGGGATGATGGTAGTTTGAAGTCAAGTAGTCGAATTTGACATACAGTGGGGTGATTGTAGTTTGAAGTCATGTCAAATGCCGGTTAATAGACTTTTTTGCCGTATGAGAATGTTAATAGACTTTTTTGCCGTATGAGTATAAGTTGCCCAGGCTGCACCACGTGGAGGTAAGTCCATCGCACACCCTATGTAAGGAAATGTAATTAGTGGGAGACAGAAAGGATCATGGGTATCTAGAAGCCTGTGTAGCCCGTGTTTGTTTGATTGACTGAATAATACATTCGTTCTAACTTAACCTTGAGATCAATAACGCACATCATGCTGGCATTAACCGGAGTTGGTCCACTACCTATTTCTTTGAAATGGATCGATTTCAGGCTAGGCTTTCCTTTGAAGTCAAAATAATTTGAATTGGACATAAGTATGAAATTAAGCAAATATAAGGGAACGTACATCCTTGCTTTTAAATGTATCATCGACTGCAATTTGTTCCTACATGATATGTAAACCAAGCCGTACAAGACGCCGTCAAAGCATCTCAGGGAATGAAAAGTTTTATTAGAAGTTGACTCAAACTGTCATTAGAGATGTTTAGACATTTTGACACAAAGGAAGGTATTTTTCTATTTAACTTTCTCTCCTATCAAGTACTACTCCATCGCTAATACGACCCTATGCTCTAAAAGAAGTAAAATTGAAGTCAAATATACTGCCCACGCTTCTAGGGGGACAACCATCGAGGTAGATTTTTAAAGCGTCAGCTTTTCGCTCCGCTAAGTCACATGAAAGACACGTATTAAAGCGTTACCATCACACACTAGTATGTAGCTCAAAACGATTCTCTTAAGGATTCCTTTGATAAAGAAACAATGCATTTTCCTGTCTGTGACACTTCTCAAATAAACCTATTCCACGTCATGCGTTTTTTGCCACTGTAGCGGTAGCTTAGCTAATACAGGGAGATATTCCAAAGTAGGAGAAGGAGCCACAAAGATTACTGAGCTTATTGAGTCAAGGCTTATTAGTGTAGTAATCCGCTTCAGGCCGATATTGATATAAAACGTACATTACAGGTGTTGTTCTAGTGGACTGTGCTTGAAATCTACGAAACCGAAGACAGAAAGGCGAACAAATGGCTACTGTCCAAGAATTTTATTTGTAAATGTTAGCTCTACCAACGATCTATTTCGCATAAAAGGTACCATGCTAACCTCAAGTTACGCTGACTAAGGCAATAAAGATAGTATACACTTTATGTAGCCTGTTAAATAGCAATTGGAAGAAGTTGTTTTTAAAAAAATTTGTGAATTCAAGGTTATTCATAGGGATTGAGGAGGGGGGAGGGGGGGGGGGGGGGGGGGGGGGTGTGGAATAAATAAAATTTCCATTGCACTCTGTTGAGTTCTGTTCACATCATCCCACTAGCGTGCTACTGCATAAGGTAGGTGAACTGAGATAGGGAAACCCTTTGCCAATGCACTGTTAATGTGCTCGTCAGGAAAATTAAAGGTCTATTTCATTTTGATCAATGCATATCAGTGAGCCGTGCGAGCAAACTTATCGGCTTAATTTAGTTAATAAATGAGCTAATAGAATTCTAATTCCTCACCAGGCGGGGTGTGGGGGTGGGGGGAGGAATTCAATGATGAAATTTATTTACACAATGCCTTCCTAAAAAAGCCTGAAAAAGGTATTATTAATTCCACAGAACATTAAAAAACAGAGATGATAAGTAAGTGTTTGTACATATTATGATAGAATCAGATGTCATGATATATTGATTTTCGAGGGGCACCTAGCATTTAGATCATCTAAAAAATGCATCAAGCGTTCTGTCATCATATTCAGGCCATCAACAGTTTTACCGTAGTTATTGAGAAAGGCCGGATCTTTTGAAGTTGTGTATAAATTCACCAATTGATACCTCAGAATTTGCCCTCTATCCAGAAGTTCGAATACATCACTTAGCATGGCGTTGTATTGTGTGTCGGAAATGGCATTCTCATCTTCTCCTGCAGCAGCGAGAACAGCCTCAAAGGTTCTCACTTTCTTTTTTACGACCGCCGCCAATGAGCTATATTCTAGGTGAACAGTTTGTAAGTCGACGGGATGGCTCATTTTAGGTGATCTTAGCTTAATATTAGGTATAAACCTGCAAGCAAGAACAAAATCTTAGTCTACCATACCGTATTAATCAATTATACAAACACCTACTTACCTTACAGGAAAGGAGAAAATATAGCTCGACTCTGTGATTTACGTTCAATTAAAGCCACAGCTGTTGAATATTAATCCATTACTCATTACTAAAAGTAACTTTGAGTGAAATGTAATTCGTTTAACGTTGTCAAAATCATGTGACCAAACTTCCAAACGTGCTCTATATGCCACCTCGCAAAACTTGATGACACTAGGTTGGAACATATAACAACACGCACATTGACTTAGTGGAGAGTGTGAACGTACAGTCTTTTAACAGTATTCGTGAAAGGAGGGGTATCACGATCACGGGACATATTGGCCACCCCCGTCCTGCTTTTACGATCTCTATGCCCTCTCGTCTTGGCTAACACTTGCCTTCGCGCCTTACTAACTTGATGCCTTTGGTAGAGGAAAAATAGGAATAAATCACTTCTCCTCACCAGGCAAGTTCAAAGAGCGGTGAATAAGAATCGGACGTCGAAAAATCGAAGGCAGTAAAATGTGTTCTTGCTGAGCATGTCAAGCTAAATGGCGTATATTATCCGTCATCGTGTGAACCCCACTCTACATCTTACAGCTCTATTTCCCCTTTATCGCTCTTTTGATTTGAGAAAAGCTGCTGACCCACAACCAGATTATAGAAGTGGCTTTACTGAAACTGATGCGCATCTCTGGCACTGTAGTGTGCGAAATTAATTGATGGCATGGAGAGGTTTGGTAGATAATATGGATCAATAATATCGTCACAGACTGTCTCCACTCGATGAAGGCCACCAGGGCTGAACAGAGAAATCTCGTTCGCAATCGAGGACGTGCCTTAGGGAGTAGGTAATGGGTGTTACATTATTGGCAATTTGGTAAGTATGATCCATGTCAGTGGCACAATCGGAATAAGCGTCGTTTAACCAAACGCTTTGTTTCCTCCTTAGTGTTGAGATGCCTAAGGTAAGTTTTTGTTGCAACTTAATACTACGTGATTTTGCAGCAAATATTAATGCGGCTTTGTATAGTACCCTCCTCGGCGCCAATAGCGTTGCATATACAGGCTGTCCCAAAAAATGTACTCACACTTAGAATAATTGTACTGTAACCGGTCCAATTTACGTGAACTTTCTGCAGCAGTCTGTTATGCCAAGCATTAGAGAAGACTTTGAAGATGAAGAGTTTTACATCCAGCAAGATGGGGCACCCCCCCCCCCCCCCGTTACCATCACGATGTTAGGCCTGTTCTTGAGGAGGTCATGCCAAATAGGTGTATTGGACTAAGAGGTTTTTTTGAATATCCCCCCCTTTCCGTTCACCAGACCTTACACCACTAGATTTTTTCTTATGGTGATATTTAAAAGACAAAGTCTACGCTACGTAACCTGCAACAGCCACTGAATTAAGAGAAACCGTTGAACATGAATGCGTCCAAATTCCAAGGGAATTATTTCATGATGTGTGCGATTCCATTGCTTGTCGTCGCCAGTAGTGTCTGGATCAAAATGAGAGTCAGTTTAAGAACAAGCAGCGGAACGCAATAAAATTACACTTGTTGAACATTTTTTACGCTTTTGAAATAATAAACATCTAAATGAACACCATGTTTACAAGTTATTTTCATTTTTCGGGACACCCTGTGTGTATATATACATAGCTGTTACCAATCTCGGTACTAATTCGAATTTTCTCTTCAGCTGCTCTATAAACGAAGCTAGACAAAACGACTAATTAATAAACCATACAATTTCATATGATCAGTTATGTAGAATTAGTATATTTATTACAAACTTGGACACACAAGAGGGAACCAGATAGGACCGCTCATTACGGAGAAAAACAACTGAAGAAGCTTATTCGTAGAGACTACGCAGACTCCGGAAAAGGTCCTTCATAAAGGGTGACAAATCCGACATCTCTGTCTCTAGAGTATCCATATATGGATACAATTGATCTTGGTGCTGCATGGAAAAGAGAACAGTTATATAAAGCGTCTACTTAGATTCAATAGGTTATGGGATAAATTCATCACCTCAAGAACCGATTGCATGAGACGACCCTTTATCCAAAATGCCACAGATTCGAGATTGCGAATGATGGTCTGCGATTCACCTAATGCCTCCATTTTCTCCATCTCGTTTGACACATCATTTATGAGACGCATATTCCGATGGAGCAGGAGAGTAATAACAGACAGCTGAGAACGTAGAGCTTCTCCGCGCACCTCTTCCATATGAGCCAATCGATCAGGAGAGACATTTGACCGTCTGACGCCGTCATCACTACTGTCATGACTCCGACTTCTAAACTGATTACGGTCTCTGTGGTGATGACGGCGACTTCTATTGATCTTCTTCCGAAGATCTATGTCACCATGTTCGTCCTCACTTGAACTGCCGCCTGAACGTGATCTACTTCTAGACTATTTAAGGCGGGCACTAATTACAAACAAGCTTATTGATTTAATTATCTGTAATTGAACTGTTATCTTACTCGACGGCGGCCAGATCCCATTCCATCCTTAGCGTCCTCCAATCCAGATGATACTTGGACAACTCGTTGGCTAACACGTATTAGAGTATGCATCAAGCACTCCCAAACGTGAGACCTAAAAGGGAAAGTAAAACGAATTTGAATTGTTACAAAGTCGTCACAATATTCAAACCATTCATTTTACTTCCTGTTGTGCGGATAAGATCATTACCGCGATAAAGCCTGTCAAGTAGTTGATCCAATTTTGTGATAAATCGAATTATCATGCATCCTCTTCTTATACTCTCAAGAGTATGGAATGCTTACAAATAACATTTTCTTCCATTGACACTGTATAGGCTACTACACTAAGGCTAGTTAAAACCTCTTGAATAACGGAACACCTCTAACTGTGAGTAAAATATTGAAATGTATTTGGAAGAGAAGAAATAGCATCAGAGTCAGAGAGATAAGAGAGGAGAATGACATCAAATAACGTGTGTGTGAAAAGCAGGTATTTACTTCGAATATCTTCCAAACAGCAGATGCGAGAAAAATCGATAATCGAACTTCCGCGCCTGTGCTTTGGGTAATTGGGAGTGAAATGCTGGCATTGAACCAACTTTACATAAGCATTCGAACTCTGGGGGTTTTTACCTCAATAAATTAAATTCGGTCTATTTACCCGTTTTCGGAATCTGTTCTATTCCCATGCATCATCTTCACAGCTAAATACCAACCTTGAAAATATATTTGAATACTGACATTCGGATATTTGACATTTTAAAATAATCAAACGGAAACTAATTCTTTTTGAAACTTAACGTCAAAATTAACGACAAATCAACTCAGTCTTTCCCTAAATTTTGAAGTTAAAGAAAAATTCTTACCACTTTAAACATAAAAAACTCGAATATTAATCAAACTTCTACAAAGATTGAGCAAAATAGTGTGACAACACAAGGAATCTTCAGGAGGTTCTCAAACAGTTCAAGGTATTCCACTGTGGAACCCATAGTCCCTAAATTATCTTGAGGGTTCTTTAAGGCTAACATTATACGTAAGAATGGATCAATACCAAGTAACCTACTGTAGCAACTGCGGCCGAATATGAACACTTGAGGGTGGATTGAAGTCCAGTTCATTAGTAAAAGCAGACATTGAAGGCGAAAACGCCCACAGCACAATCGACTCTGGATCTAGCATTCCTTCACGGCTCATGTAGTTCGAAATCGCTACAACCATTTGTGATTGGTCATACCAAACGACTTGAAGAATATGCAATGCTTCTATCTGCAAATCCACCGTGGAGGCCAGTGCCCTGAATACATCGACATACCTGTGGTGGAAAGGAGTCGTTACGATAGAAATTAACCAGATTTTCATAAAGGAAGGGAAAGAGGGGGGGGGTTAATTTACCGACTAAGAAGAGAATACGTGTGGCTGATGGTTTTATGAGCTCGTAGTAGGAGAGCAGCCATAAAGAGCTCTAATTCAAGACTACTAACACCAGGAATCAAACATTGAGCGAGTGGTTCGTCCTTATCCATCTCCTCATTCTTTTCACCGTCTGTGTCATTCACACAAGATTCGGAAGGGTGTTCAGGTGAACCGTCAGTGTCGGAGAGGCTTCGAGAACGTCGACGAACGTGAATGTCGGACTCCTCCATGTCGTCACCTTTTTGAGCTGCTGTCCTTCGAACTACGTCAAGAAGAGCATCAGGGCTCAAACGTTGATTGAGTGCTTCCAAGACTTTCAGGAAGGCTTTTCTTCGTGGCATGGCTAAAGGGAAAATTGTAAATTTAATAGTGACTCTGTACAAGAAGCTACATTGAAAGGCAAGTGCTGGATAGCTGTTAACATTGATTGGAATAGGCAACCGCGTTGGTTAAGTTGGACTTAATAGGCATGACAGAAAAAAAGTATCCTACCAGAGGGACTCCAAAATGATCGTTAAAAACGGATCCTAGATGAGCTCAGAGATCATTATAAGAGCATGCAGTGCAGTAATCAACATTCATATCTGCCAAGTTCGTTATTACAAGTTCAATGTTAATCGGTGATTACCTATTGATGTGGATAATAAACTCTAATGAGTCATTTTTCATGGCAAGTGAGATGACAGAATGCGTTATTGCAAAAGAGAAATTGTAGAATAATTCCTGTCAAATGTGGTGAAAGCTCAGTAAAGGCTCAGCTAGGAAAACAACGTTTGAAATGTAGTAGACATCGCAATTCAAGATTGAGAATTTGAATTTATTTTCACTGTCTCCATCTCACAAATCATATATTATCTACAAATTTTCTGATTCCACTAGTTTTTTTTGTGTCATTCAGTGACCCCTTGATGGAGAATGAAGCCTTCTCAATGGCACATTTCTGGCAAACCATATCTAAACATCTTTCCTCTTCATTAGTGTCAAGATGTTGTTGTCGAGTAACAGGTTGGCCCTTCTTTTTGCTGGACCTAAACTACCATAGCCAACACAGTGAGCGCATCCTATATCATGAAAGTGGCCACCGAACAGTACCAATGGCAACAACAATTTTAATTAGAACTTCGACATGAATGTTAGCTGATCACTACTTTGTTCAAATGAACTCAAAAGTCCTGTGGCATAAAACTAGCATCATCACCTTTGTAAAAAATACAACTTGCTCAAGCGTTAACAAACAAAAACAAATCCAATTTGAAGGCTTCACTAAGACTGTTTAATAAAGAGAGATGGAGAAAACCTCTCAACATGTGCTAGCTGAAAACTTATGGAACTACTGATTTCAGGAGTATTCAAAGCGCGCGCCCAATTAAAAACAAAACATACGAGCATCATCATAGGGATTCACAGGGCCCGGTTTAGGTGGCAGAAGACAGTGAAATGACCTTGGGAGATGTTGTTTCACATTTTCAAAATACGAGTAACGAACAAGTCGAGCCAGAGTCTCCGAGATAAACCAGCGACGAGGAGACATAACAGGCTCCTCCAACGCACGAGACCAATCCTTCCAACTCCACTTGAGTTGATAATTAATCAGGTGGAAAGAGAACCACTCCACAAAGCGTGTAATGCAGGCCGGTTTCATGGAATCAAGACGATCAAAGAGAGTTTCAGTGGCTTGAGCGAGAACCAGCGGCATTGTGCTCATGGAATCATTGCAAAGTTGAATCAGGAGAGAGGAGTAGAAAAGGAGATTTCCATGACGAACTGGTGGCTTGGGTAAGCGGAAGATATCCGCGAATATTGCTTCAACTATCATGTACTCCAACGCTAGTTTAGCGCGGGTTTGGAAATTGAGAAGAGCTTTAGAACTAAAGAGAGACAAAGTATGAATAGAATACATTGAAATATTAAATAAAACATTATCAAGATAATTGGCAGACCTCATACATAAAGGAATCTATTAACCTCATGGCAACAGAAATGTCTTCCCTCAACTGAATTCTGGATTCAGTAAGTTGTCTACTACTCAATTTTGATTAATTAAAACTCCATTTATTTAAGGACTTTCATAAAAACAAGAATTTTTGTTAACAAGAGCGAATGTCTTCTACTAGCGAAGATTTATTTAAGACTGTAGAATTCGCAGACCAAACAGATCTTTACTCAGAGGAAAGAAGTCCCATTTTAAAAATATTTTATTGCTGCAAAATCCGAGAGTTGTACCACAAGTTGCATCAGTAAATGATTTTACTAACAGATGATGATATACGAGAATCTAAACACCAAATTTATGGAAGTTATGATATTCCAGCAGCATAATATTACCTGATGGTTTCTTTAACTTAGATAACCATAATAGAAGTAAAAGAAGGTCGTTCGTGAAGATAAAGTAGAACAGCTGATCTATTCTGACTTGAAGCAATTTAAAAGGGAAGTCGGGCCAGTTCAAATGGTCACTCCTATTTATCAAACACCATAATGATATCTCGATACAGAGGTTTTCATTAATCTCGACTCACATATTTGCGTAGAAACAAAAGGCTTTGCAATGTGTTGGTTTCGAAATAGCAGACCAATTGCATGGACTCGGACTCACTTCTTTTGTGAGAATTAAAGAAAAACAAAAAGGAGATAAGACGAAGAATATTCAAGAAATAATTACCCACCTCCTGTACAAATACATCGGTATTCAAATAGGTATATTGCGAAGGTGGTATTGTTAATATATAAGTAATATAGCAATATAATTTTTGATAACAATAAAAAAACTACATCAAAACAGTGGGCAAACAATCGCGTATATAAAGGGATTCAAATTTAGTGAAACCCATTAGGCTGCCACTTAAAAACTGATTGCTCTTGAGAAGGGGATAAAACAAGCTCTGAATGTTAGCTCACTTCCCGAACTCCCATCATCTCTTTGTTTTCTTCAAGTTTAATAATAACATATATGCCTATAGTCTAGTAGCATACATGTCATTCTTTCCGAGAATTTTGTTGTCGATTCTGGGTAATAGGATATAAGTCATTGGTAGAAGCTCGAAAAGAGATTTAAGGGTGTGCTCAAGAATAAAGTTAAAGTTATTACTCGACAAACAATCCCCATCAAATTATCAAGAAAATTAACAAGAAAAAATGTATAAAACGAATGCCAACGAGGGCAATCTCAATCCAATCGATTTCAAATCTACGATTGAATCGAGCAGAACGCCTAGGCAAAAAGAAAGTAGAGGCAAAAGTACCACTTGCAAATCTGCCTATGCAATGATTTTGACAATTCATGATCGAAACCTTCAAGTTTCATTCCTTTCAAATCCTTTAAATGCGATATTGAAAAAGGTGCACGCTCCTATCGAGCGCGTTTTGGATTGGATAATTGTCAATCAAGATGACTAATCACAGGAAATTTGATAAATGCTACCTTTAGCGAATGGGGTGTGCGATAGACTTACCTTCACGTGGTGCACCCTGGGCAACGTATACTCATACACAAAAAGTCTATTAACTGGCAATTGACATCTCACTTCAAACTACCATCACCTCACTATGTCATATTCGACTACTTCCATAGTACTTACCTCACCTTTTTTCTACCTTTGTGTCTGTCTCTTTTACATCTTTGAAACACTCTTCGCCCCCCCCCCCCCCTCGACTTTTTTTCAATTTGATGTACCTTCCTCTCGGTGAAGCCTGAAGTCAACTAAAGGGCTAATGATAATCATCGAGACGCCTGCCATTTGATATAATAATAATAATCTAGCGAATGATTCCGATATTATTTTGTGTAAAAAAACTAAATATAACCCGAGACTTCTACACTATAGTACGTTAATAATATGGGCCTCCTTCGTCATTTCTTGTTCATTTTCCAATGGTTTTAAGACACTTTAGCATACCAACTCCGAGTCCACTGATGGATTCCACATTTATTTACTCAACCACGTTTGTTTAGGTGAGCAAAAAAAGTGAATTCATGTACACACCCCCACCCCGCCTCTGATTGGCTCAGTCACAAGCTTAATGATCATTTTGATAGCCGCAGTGTAAACTACAGTACTACCCAAGTACTCATGCTACTACCTATACTCACCACATTGCTCTGTTGAATTGCATGGTCTCCAGAATGACGTGAATTTGTTCATCGACCAGAAAACGTTCAATTGTGTGGGCACCGGGGAGAGACGGGGAAGTAGATACAATTGGCATACTGCCCCCCACCTCCGCCTCCTCTTCCTCAGAGTTGTAAACATCTGTGTAATCGAACATCCGAAAAACGACTTGAGGATGAGGATAAACCACGTCTGGGTCGTAATCTGGCGGTGTAACCTGAAGTAAAATAAAGTTGATATTTAAAGAGCCTACAAGGCGTTTATTAATACCACCATCTAAAAAGCTTTTTCAACAATAAACCAAGTATAATTTGAATAATATTATAAATATTCTACACGTAAAAAAAACTCAAATTTAGATCAATAGTACTGGGGTAAACTGAACATTTCTTTACCTTCCTTGTGGCCCCAATGGAATTTATCAAAATCGTCTCTCATTGTTTCATTTTAGCAAAGCCTGTGAGAGATAGACTCACCTGCCAGTGATTACAGCAAACTTTCCAAACCCGATATTACTTGAAGATGGTTTTAAATAACAAAAGTGCGAACACTTCACCATCCAAATAAGTTGCACGATATTATCACGCAATCTTGGAGAAGTAAAAACATAATAACTGAATTGGCATGACGAAAAAAAACAAATATATGGACATGGGAAGGCAGGAATAAAACAAAGTGACTTACCGAGAACTTTATAGTTCGAATATCATAATTGGCTATAGCACTTGCAGATTATTAGCCAAACTCATATAACAAATCGTAAGAAAAAAATATTTACATTCGGTGGGGAAACACTGGGCACCTGACTTTGTATACAAGCACATTAATCACTGAGGCGACCAACACGCTTCGCTCATATTCGAACTTATGGGTTATGAAAAGGTAGTCGTAGTGATGAAAATCGGTAAAGTTTGCAAGAGGACCTATTTAGCGCTACTAACTGTTACTGTATTAATGTTAAGTAGTGACCAAACTATACGGTCAAATCTGAGTCATTTCAAAAGAATGCAACAAAAATATTACCATGCCAAATTCGCAGGGTTGACCAATTTCACGAAGAGCTGGAAAAGCATCAGCGATCCTCCAAAGGACATTTTCCCTCCAATTTGCCTTTTGCATCGCGATTATTTGTGCCCACAGGCAAGTCAAATACTAAACAAATATACGAAATTTATTTTTTCGAATGTTTACGACATGACGATCATTTTTATTGTTAAAACTTACATCTTCCTGTGGGTGAGGATCTGACGTTTCCCAAACACGCAACATAGAGACATGGTGCGTAGTCCTTTTGCTATATAAAGAAAAAAGTTTTCCTTTTACCAACATTCTTCAAAATAGAAAGACATGAATGCTCAAATTCCTCACTAATGCTAACAAATAGAGTTAGGTCATATTAGATAAAGCGAAAAAATTGACATACACGCGGCTTAATAACTACAAAGAGATGTTGACTAAAATCATATTCAAGTTTACCATTAATAACAAATTGATAGTTTAGTCCGAAGCCACGATACAATTCTAAGCAAGCTAGAAAGACTCTACTGATTTCAACGAGATACACCTCTATAGCCATACATTAATTTCAGAAACTATTTACGATTCTGATTCTGATGCATGAATCGAACAAATCCAGCTGTAATTAGGCTTAATTGGCAAACCCATTTACCAGTCATTAGCTCGTATTGAAATGGTGAAAGCATAAACACAAAACCTTAGACTTACGAAAGATACACGCTGATAGTGCTGAGGATTGATTCAAGAGCAGCAGCATTATGCTCATACAGACGCTTAGCGCTCTAAATATACAAAGATTACGAGAATAAAATTAAAGTATACATATGGAAGAGAGGAGAGAACCACATAGCAGTACCAATCCATTCGACATTGAGAACTAGAAGATACATCCAGAGTGACTTCTACGAAGCTTTCATAAAGCGATAGCAGACTCCCAGGATGAATTAGATTTCCATTAACAGAGTTAGATAGAAAGCGAACCAAATATTTGACGTCATCAAAGCGAGATGCTTTGAGAGAGTCCTTCAATTCCCGAATGATTGAATTGATAACGCCCATAACAAATTCGTGGTTTTTGAGATTAATTAACCCCAAAAGAGTAGTGTATATCTCCATGCGTTCAGGAATATCTCTGGCACTAAAAGGAAAATTTAGATTGGAATATCATATCTTACCATTTAGTAAAGACTCTAACACGACTATCAATATTTTTATCAAGATCTGAACAAAAAAGAATGGAAAGGTCATTTACATCCTTGTGAATTTTATCCAAATTCTAGAAAAAATACTTTATAATAAACCAGACCAAACCTTGCTGCCTATTCGATACACAAGCGATTCTACAGTATCACGATCGGGACGGCCACGTTTTGAATAAAAGGTATCTAATTATGCAATATGAAAGGTTAACAAATAAAATATTACAATCATCATCAAAGGATTGGTTCCTAGTTCTCTTTCTTGACATTGCAATGGGCCAGATAGATTACACCGCTTAAATTCTACCCAATGGAATTTCGCTAAATAAACTTTTTCAATAAAATTAAATCATATTGGGAAATTAAGTTTATATTCATCGTACAAATGTCCACTGATTTATTTTAATTTTTAAGGTGTTTTTAATGGAATATCTTTCTAATGTAATAAGGAAATCATAGTCAAACATGCTTCATAATAGTCAATTTTAAGCAATTATATACAATTTATGTATACTCCTTCTTCATTGTAAAATCATTCCATTTGGTTTGGTTTTTAATACTTAAAAGGAAAAAAATACCTTCAATTTGAAATTGAGTTTAGGAAACCTGTAATTTATATATTCCAAATGGCAGGCTTTATGATATTTATCATTAGCCCTTAATCTTTGACTTCAGCTTCCCCCAAGAGGGGGAGAGGGGTACATTTATAGCAGTTAATTAATAGCAGTTCATTAGCTGTCTTCTTGCTTCCCAGTATCT